TTTTCTTAATTAAACCTTTATAATAACTTTATTTTAATATATCATTATAAAAATTAAAAATTTTTTTATATTCGATTTGATTCGATTTGATTCAATCAAATATTTGATTTCAATTCAATTCAATTCGATTCGATTTGAAAAAATCAATGATATTTTATTATACTTTTATATATATTTGCTTTATATTTTAAATATAATTATTAGATAATAAATTTAAGGATTTAAAGATATCTAATTTTTTTTGTTTTTATCAATTTCACAAATAATTTCTATTAAATCTTCATTATCTTTTATTACTTCCTCTATATTTTTAAATATAGTAATTTTATAAATATCTTCAATTATTTCAGTTTTAATAATATAAGAAGATGATTTATTTCTTGATTTAATTTCACATCACACATCAGTAAGTACCAATCCAATTTTGTTTTATTGAAATCAATTGCTTATAATAATATCTAATTATACTATACCATCATATTCAGATAACATATGCAATTAAATGATATTTACAAATTGGATATAATTTATTAAGTGATAATAATATTGCTTAAGAGCAAAAGGATTATCTGAACTACATTGGCTAACCTTGAACATAATTATAATGATGATTCTGAAGGTTATAGAAATAGTTAAAGAAAAAAATCAAAGATTAAAATAATCAAAAGAATTTCAAAATTATTTTATTGAAAATGGCCTTGTTAAGTTAAATATGATAGATATATACGTGTTCGATTATTACCTCATTTTGAAGCATGGAATAATTTTTTGCTATCACATATAGCCAACTTTAGAATATATCTCTTCGTCAACCTCAACTGTCAATATCTCAATATACTATTCTAAAAACCCAATGAAATATGTCAATTGCAATAGAATCAGGCAAGCTGATTATTTTATTATATTGTATATATATATCTAAATTGATAGGATTATTGTCAAATAATCTAGATCTAATAGAAAATGATAAGGATGCTAGTAATATATAACTCAAACCTTTATGTATTAGTTATTATAGAATAGCTTTTACACATTTGAAAATTTTAGATGAAATCCCTTGAATGAACAACCTAATAATCTAAATTCTTTCAATAGCGAAAAGGAAATAAATATTGGTAAGTCAAATTATAAACAAAAATTACACAATAAAGATGTATTTATATACTTTACATTATTTCTTCCATTTAAACAATAGATCAAAAGTTTCCATAGCAAAAGGGTAGGCGTTGAAAGGCAATCAGACATTGGGCAGAAAAGGTAGAAAAAGAATTAAAAATGAGGTAAAAGTCCTATTAAAGCTTTTTTTTCTGAATGAAAATCATAGGTCAGAAGATAGGATAAATGCTCAAATTATGCGTGATGAGCTATTAAAATACATTGAAGCTGATAAACTTGAAGAAGAGGACATTCCAAAAGTCAATACCATACAAATTTGAATAAATATAGATACTCGCATTTTTAAAAAAAGAGTTACAAAGCGTGATTTGATAAATGAGTATGAAAAAGTCTTAAGTTTATCAAAATAAAAGTTGTTATAACTTAGTTTACCTATAAAATAAAGTAAATATGCACAAAGTTTGTTGAAATAAATTTACTTTCTGAAATCTTATTGTACCTAATAACATATAGTAAATGCGAGTGCTTCCAAGGTAAAGTTCGCCAAAAAAATTTTTACACTTAATGGCTTTGAAAATAAAAGTATACGTATACTTTATTATTTATTACTATTTTAGTAAAAATATGTTAAAGTTTTTGTTATACCAGAAATTGCCAAAATCAGTATACTAAGACAATTAGTAAATGATCTGCATCAAATTTTATATATAATTTTCTCTAGTTGACTTGTGGATTGTCAATTAAGAATATAAGCCTATTAAAAAGTTCAAAATTTAATCTTTTTTGCTATTAATAAATTTATGGTATCACTAAATAATCTTTTATTTAAGATAGAAGTAATTGGAATAGGAAGGTAAAATCTGACTAATTTTAAAAGAATTAGAAATTATTATACCATCAATAAAAAAAATCAGAATCAAAATTCGATTTAAGTAAAGATAAGTAAGTAGTTATTTCATTATCTTATATAATTTTTCATTTAAAATTTGAAAATAGAGGACTGGTTGAATAATAATATTAAAGAAGCAATGGGTATTATTTAATAATTAGCTTTAGGTTGATTATATTTGTTTTTTAATAGATTCTTTGTTTTATTATGAACTTCATTATTATTAATAAATTCAATAAATTCAAAAGACTTAATCCTAAGATTAAGTAATACTGAGATAAGAGTTTCTTCTTCTTCTTTCTTTACAAAGTCATCAGCAATTTTTTTCATATTTACATTTTGAGAACTTGTATTTTCTGATTTTATGCGATTTTTAATTTCTTTTAATAATAAACTTATAATACTATAAGTATCATATTTATTTGCATCTAAATAAGTTGTAGCTTTAGCTAATTCAAAATTATTTACATATAAGTTTTTTAGCAATTACAATTAATTTTTAGTTAATATAATTTCAGAAAGTCATTAGCTATCTTTTTTTGAATCTATATCATTTATTATAAATTGGTAAAGTTATAATAAGAATATCAATATATGACTTAATTTTTAAAAATCTCTTTCAGGCCAAAAAACTTAAATTCCTTCAGGTAGCAATATCTGTTATACAATAATACAGGTATATACTTATTTTTCTAGTATTCTAAAATAATTAAGTATTAGTTATTTTTATTTTATTAAAAAATTCAATTTCTTGTAATACATGTCATACTAGCTGACTTTTAATATTTATTTAAATATTTTTTAGCCTTTATGATTATTTAGGCCTTATAAAGAAGTCAATTAATCATTTGGTTCTTAATACAAGTAATTTTATATATTTAAACCCTTTTTCTACTAGAGATTGGAACTGATTTTTATTTTCACAAACTGGTTTAAACACTTTTTTAATTTGAGACTTGAATTTAAACTGAATTTAAAATAAAACTGATTCAACCAGGCATTCGGTTATAATAAAACTGAAAAATTGAATTGCAATTAATTTTATTATTGCAATTTATAAAAATCTTACAAAAAAATATAAAAACTCTGAAGGAAAAAATTTGAAGAAATGTTTTCATAAGAATCAAATAAAAAAAAAGTATAATTTTACAAATTAACATGAAATAAATGGAGAAATTTTTAAAAAAAAATTCACAAAAATTGAATAAATAATTAATTCTTTTATAATATAAAAATATTTTTTTAAAAAAAAATATTTAAACCTTACCATTGTTAGCTTAATCAGTTCGTCGTTAAGTTAACTAAGATTATTTGCTAACAGGGAGTTTAAGTATGTCTAAACTATGAAAGAAATAAACACAGATTAATTATGTTGAAGGGTCAGATCGTCTTTATCGATATAGATTTAAAGAAGTATGAAATTG